AGGTCTGTTAGAGGACTTCCAGCAGCGTTTCCGGCAGCATGCCCTGAGTCGCGCCATGGACATTGCGGTGTGCACCTCCCCAGCGCTGTGCCTGGGAGGAAGGGCTGGAAGGGCTGGAATGGTTGGAAGGGCCAGGGGCCACCACAGGGGAATCGTTTGACGGGGTCTAAGAAACGGGGTCCAGTTCGCACCAAAGGGCAGTCCTGCGAATAGCATCCTAGAATCCGTTTGTTGGAGCCCACGTAGGGTCACCGAAATTATGGGTGCGTCCTTTTGCTTTTGGTTGAGTTAAAGGAAGCCAACCATGTTGGGGATGTCCTCATTTTGGGATGCACCCATATTTTTTCTCTCCTCAGTGGGAATTGTTCACAGGGGAAAAGGGAGGGGGGTCTGGAACTCTGACCAGGTTGATGGCCTGGCTGTCTGGCACGTTTTAGACGACTCAGATATGGCCCACATAAAGGGGATAAGAGGGCGCAAGCGAGCCGTGGAGGAAAATCAATGCTTTAATGGGAAGGCCAAACCCCATGGTTTGCTTGGCCGAAGCTTCCATCCGTTCGATCAGTTGTGGTTGCATATAAACGTATGTTGGCCGAAACGTGTTTCACAGCAGTGCAGGGTTCTCTCATGGCAGGAACTTGACATGACAGAAGCAGGAGCAGAAGGCTTGATACAGCCAGCCGAGTAAGGGTGAAGGTTGACGACGCGAGTGTTTGGTGGATGCTCATACCACACATTGAACGGGTTCACCGTTGCAAGCCGATTGGGACAAGCTCTAAGCAGGATTGAAACCTTCCATTGGAGGGCCATGGAGAAGTGAGCAAACGAGCCCTGAATACCACCAAAATCACGTGGCTTGGGAAAAGTACTCACGCTGCAGCGTCCCAGGCTTTGCCTTCTGCTGCTGCCATTTCAGCGGCCTATGTTGGCCTATCTCGGGGAGCCGTTGCTGCTCTCTGTGGAAGCTGAAGCTCGGGATGTTTGGTGCCCTGGCATTGCAGGGAGGCTTTTTTTCTTTCAGGTCTTTCATTCTCAAGGGGTTTGTGCCTGCTGGCGAAAATGTGTTGGCTGGTGGCTTGCTGAAAGGCTGCCGACTGAAGGTTCGAAGAGTTCGACGCCATGGCGACTGCTCCGCACCACTTCTTCTCCTGCTACAACCCTTTCCTGCCCTGGACTCATTGGCAGTTGCACCCGTGCAAGCCGCGCAAGCATAGCCACAGCCGCGAAGGACGGACCTAGGACAGGAGGACGCTGCTGACTTGGGGTGGCCAGCCATGTCTCCATTGGTTGTCGCTCCTGGTATTCATACTGGAATGTTTGGGGACGCCCTTGACAGTTTGCCAGTGCACATGACGATCGACAAAGGGCATGCAAAAGCGTACGAAAGCTCAGGTCGTCCATGATCGAGTACCAGACTGGAATCACGGCTGCATTGATTGGCACAGCAAGACTGTAAACACATGTCCAGCTCTTGTCCCTCCTCTGTCATGGAGTCAAGCAGGTTGCTTTTCGTTATTTGGTGCAAGTTAGCTTGTTTATCATCCATGCGCGTTTCAACAGCCGGAGGTATGGAATGCATTGGAAGGCTCGTCAATCTTGAGTGAGGGGCATGCAGTATCCTGTTTGCCATGCGAAGGGCTGGCGAGAGACCAAGGAGGTCCAACAGCGTCATTGCATCATGTTCAGGTTTGTCCCTGCCAGTCATTCGCCTGCACGGTCTCTACACAGAGGCCTGGGTTTTTGGTGTGGCAGCATTTTGCCCGGGTTAACAAATTCATGAAGTTGGTGAATCCCTTTTTCAAGTTGGTTAATCAGTGCACTTCGCATTCATGACGGATGACCAATCTTCATTCAGAATTGCTTCAGGACCAGCTGCTTTTCAAACCTGCCCGGGTCTTTGAACGCTGGCTTCTCGCAGGCGCATTACGTCCCTGGCGGGAGCCGTGGCGATGAAGTCTTAGTCATCAAAGGCGGGTGCAGAGGGCCTTCCATCCTGCAACCAAAACTTGGGATGTCTGTTTTCGTTATGCTCGGGCCGCGAAATGCCGGTGAGGGCCCAACATTTGCGTGGACTCCGTGTGCCTGCTGAACCGCTTCGTGTCCAACTTAGAGGATGGGACTCTTGGAGTGCCGTCGGCCGCTTCTTTGAGACCGATCGGCCCCGCACCTCAGAGTTGGGAAGCCAAGGGCCCCTGCTCAAATGGAGAAATTGCCCATCTTTGCTTGTGTTTGATTCTGAGTGTTCCCGTAGGCACCCTTTCGGAGAGCAAGCCGTTTCGCCAGCATTTCAGGCTGTAGGAGAAGTGAGGCTTCCACCGTGCATCGCAAAGTGCCACGCCCATCGTCCATCAGCATCCGATCTGGCAAAAGCACACGTCCAGACATGCCGTACCATCATTAACAATTGCAAAGGGCCTTGAAGCAAAAGGCTCGTTGAATTCAGGATGGCATCAATCATGCCAACCGCTTCAGCACAGGAGCAAGGTGACGGCCTGCAGACTCGGCCAGGGCCCCGTGCCGCACTCACTCAATCATCGGTCAGCACTTTGCTCGCTTGGTGATCGGGGACATGTGTGATTGCAGTGTCCGGTTTTGCTTGGGACTCGCGGCGAAATCCTCAAAGCAGGCCAGCCTCACGTTTTGTTAAGATTCCATGTGAAAGGGCTTCCTGTTTTAGCAGCACATGCAGCTTCTATCGCCGCTCTGCTACAGAGATGATTTCATGTCAAGAGCCGAAGGGACACTTTTCGGATGCTGCAATCGACGTCGCAATTTGTGGGCTTGGCTGCGCTACAGCTTTGTCGTCAATGGTTCGGCCACTCCCAGCGCAGACAGTGCTGAGCAAGCTCGCCTTTGAGCAAGTCTTAACCGGCGTTTGGGGCATCGGAATGCCTGCTAGCCAGCCTTAGGCTAAACTTTTCATTGCCTTTGCAGCCATGGCCACAATGACCAACGGCGCTTACCGCGGCCGCTATGTGCCGGGGAAGGTCATGTTCCCCACGATCCCTGGTTGCATTAGGCTTAGAGACCAGGCAGCTTGTTTTCTCGATGGAGCTCGCCCGTCTGGGTCCGGGCGCGTCGTGTGACGCGCGGGGCAATGGATGTTGACGAGTTGGATCCTGCTGCCACCGCACAAGGAAAGTCTTCAACGAGACTGAGGATACCTTTGAAAGCACCTTGCAGCTTGGCAGCAGGAGGGTCGCCTTGTTCCCAGCAAGGTTGAAGAAGATGTGTACGTGCTTAGCCCTGCATTTGGACTTGGAACCAAAAAAGTGGGGTCGCCCATGAGGAGGTTACTCTACAAATCGTCGTTTAGCTCCATGAAAATCTGCAGTTGTGTAGAACATTAAGCGTAGCAACGCTTGAAGGGGACTTGGCTGCGTTGACGGGCGACCGGGGCCAAGGCCACATGGTGCAAACTTAGCGCAGTGAGCATATTCACCATCCAGTGGTGGGTTGTCGGGGATTCTGGGATTGAATCGGAGCTTGTTTGCGGTACATGGACATGGCACGACAGTTCCAGTTGAAGTTTGTGGTCAGCAGTTTCAGTTTGCTGGGGAACACCCGACGTGTTTTAAACCAGCAGTGCCACGGTGTGCATTTTCATAGTGGGAATCACCCTAACGAAGGGCAAGGAACGGATCGAGATTTGGAGTATGTTGAGGCTAGAGAAGCAATCTGCATGCATTTATCCATCGTTCCAAAGCTGCCGCCCTTGCAAATCAACCCTTTAGACGGTCAATGTGAGAAGCAAGTTCTGGCGCAAGATGGATGCCGCCAGCTGCCAACTCAAGAATGACTCAATCTAGCCAAATGGACTTTTCAGGGGTGTTCAGATCTGGAAAAGTTAAGGATCGACCCCTGGCAAGGCCTTATCAAGAGTTTGATGAGCGCAGCCCCCTGTCGCCCAAGCTCCCCGTCACCACAGCCCCCCGCCCATAGCCTCCCTCAAGGTCCACGACAAACTATTCCACCTGCCAAATGGCGAGCTCATTGGGGGGGATCCTGGGGGCTAAAACCCGCTCACCCGGTGATGGTCGCTTTCTTGGAGCATACAAATGACGTGCACGGAAGAAGATGACCAGTTTGCCTCACCTTTTGCCCAGGAGAAAGCTGAACCAGGACTGCTGGGGTGATCAAAAAGCAATAGTGTCCCATTTTTTCAAAAAGGAACAATGAACACATAATTGTTTATTTTCGCAAAAGGACGCCAAAAGGAATGGGTAAGTTTGATTGTTTTCAAGCCGCCTATCTAGCACCCAGATGGCCTGACGCAAGAAAGACCGGCGCATGACACACATCCTTGCAACAGAGATGAACTCAGACTCTTTTTCGTTGGCTTCCCAATCGGCCCTGTTGGATTTTGTTCCTGATTCAGCTATGTCGTCCAAAGCATGTGTGGCCTCAGTTGCCAGTGGCCCTTTCTACGTTTCTTTTTGTTTGGGCCTTTGAAGTCAACCAGCTGAACAATAAGTGAACGGGTGCACTACTCACAACGCTGCTTTTCTTTCCTCAAAGCCAAGGGGCAATGAACAGGGATCCCTACATTGCTGCTTCTGGGACAAAGCGTCACCTTTCGGGCCAATTTGAGTTGGTTTTCTTTTGGGTGGGATGAGGTTTGAAGCGGAAAAGGGACCCCGCGAGTTCCAGGCCTTCCTTCGGGCCAGCCTGGACGAACGTGGCTGCGAAAAGCACCTCAGCCACGTACCCCTGGGATTGGTGCTGATGTGCATTACATATTTGCCAAAGTGATGTTGACGGAATACATCGCGTGTGGGTACCCAACCCTTGTCGCAAGGAATTGCGAGGAGTTGACAGGCCAATTGTCAGACACACAGAAATAAAATCCGGGGCACGCTGCAAATGTGCCCCATAGGAGGAGCTGCCTGACACGCTGGATCTGCTCCATGCGCTGCAAGAAGGCCCGCGTGGCGCTTCCAGCCGTTTCCTGTCTCAGACTCCGGGACCAAATGGGGCTGGTTTCCTGGTGTTCTCTGCAAACTGTAGGGGTGTTCGAGATGACTGAATTGTTAGTTGCCACCCAAGAGCAAGCAGCAAGCGGAACAAACAGGGAAATCATGTGCTGCCAGGCTCAAGAAAACATGCAGCAACGCAGTCAATGCACTGCGCCAACACTTGCTACGACATCCCCCAATAATTACTGAAGAACAATGCCACACGCACACACCCACACATGCAAGGTGGTGGTGTCGGCGATGGGTTGGTGCTGGTGGTGCCTGGTAGTTTATTTCACGATGGCCACGGCCAGGACCAGAATCACTACCATAGCCACCGCCGCAACAACAAGAAGCACGACCACCACCACCACCACCACCACCACCACCGCCACAACCACAACCACAACCACAGACAACCACAACCACAACCACAACCACAACCACCGCCACAACCACAACCAAACAAACAACCAAAACCAAACCAGACCAAACCAAACCAAACCAAACCCAGCCCAACCAACCCCAACCAACCAACCACAACCACAACCACAACCACAACCACAACAACAGCAACAACAACAACAACAACAACAACAACAACAACAACAACAACAACAACAACAACAACAACAACAACAACAACAACCACAACGACAACAACAGCAGCAGCAGCAGCAACAGCAACAGCAACAGCAACAGCAACAGCAACAGCAACAGCAACGACAACGACAACGACAACGACCACGACGACGACAACAACACCAACACCACCACCACCACCACCGCCACCACCACCACACCACCAACAACAAGAACAAGAACAAGAACAAGAGCAATAACAAGAACAAGAAGGACAATAAGAACAAGAAGAACAAGAATAACAAGAAGAACAAGAAGAACAACAAGAACAACAAGAACAACAAGGACAACAAGAACAAGAACAAGAACAAGAACAAGAACAAGAACAAGAACAAGAACAAGAACAAGAACAAGAACAAGAACAATAACAAGAACAAGAGCAAGAGCAAGAGCAAGAGCAAGAGCAACAGCAGCAACAGCAACAGCAACAGCAACAGCAACAGCAACAGCAACAGCACCAGCACCAGAAACAGAAACAGCAACAGCACCAACAACAGCACCAACACCAACACCAACACCAACACCACCACCACACCACCACCAACAACAACAACAACAGCAGCAACAGCAACAGCAACAAGCAACAAGCAACAAGCAACAAGCAACAAGCAACAAGCAACAAGCAACAAGCAACACGCCACAAGCGACAAGCGACAAGCAACAAGCAACAAGCAACAAGCATCAAGCATCAAGCAACAAGCAACAAGCAACAAACAGCAAACAACACACAACACACAACACACAACACACATCACACATCACACACCACACAACACACATCAACCACGACCACGACCACAATCACAACAACAACGACGACGACGACGACGACAACATCCAACAACCAACAACCAACAACCAACAACCAACAACCAACAACCAACAACCACACCAACCACACCAACCACAGCAGCAGCAGCACCAGCACCAGCAACAGCAACAGCAAGAACAGCAACAGCAACAGCAACAGCGACAGCGACAGCCACAGCCACAGCTACAACCACCACAGCAACCACAACAACAGCAGCAGCAGCAACAGCAGCAACAACCAATCACGAGCATGACCGTGGCCACGGTCTTGCAACCACATCGCGAACAGCGCAACAAAGCGCGGCAAAACAACATAAAGCGCATCACACATTACACACACACACACCAAACCTCAAGAGATCACAGCAAAAAGCAACACACAACAACACACACAAGAAGCAAAAGCAAAAGCGCACCGCAGTTCTGCGGCGGTTATACTCTGCAGAAGCAACGACACAACTCACCAAGCATCAAATACCCATCAAACAGACAGCCCCAACAGGCAACAAAGAACAAACATAACAAAAAACAGCAAAACACAACAACCACATCAACCCTAACAACCACAACAAATCAAACCAAGAGCCGTGAGCCAAAACAAACAACACAGATACACAAGCAACAATTCACCAACGTTAACAACCGCCGGAGGAGCAGCTGAGCGGCGCTGGGCGATGGAGCTTCTGGGGGCTATGGTGGCGGTGCAGCCGGAGCTGGGCGCCTTTGGTTTGCTCAGTTCCTTCAAAAGGATACATGGGTGCGTCTGTTTTGGAGGAGGCCCATGTTTGGTTCGTTACGGGGAAATACCAAAGGGAACACCTCCGTTTGTGCGGTTCCCAAATCTGAAAACAGCCCTACGCTTGCCTACGCTTGCATGTCTCAAAACAAGGCGACCCCAACGAGGTGCACCCCTAGAGGGATGGTTCTCCTTTCGGTTTTCTGTTATTCCCACCTTTGAAAATGGTACCCCCAACAACACACCCATTTGGCTGGGCCAAGGACACGTACAGATGCTCCCCTCATAAATGAGGTGGCGTTTGAATGCATCGTTTAAGGAGCCTGTTGGTTGATTGGCGGGTTGACGAGGGCCTGGGCTTGGCCCCCTAAAAGTGGCCGCATGTTCAGGGCGGATGGATGGCGCATGTTCACAACCGAAAGGGTTCCAACTCGCGGAAACCATTTTGAATCCATGTCCAAATTTCGAATTTGAAATACCTGTGCCTCAAGGCTAAACCGCCAGGAAGTTGTTGAGAGTTGGGACAAGCTGCCAACAACTGCCTTTTGCTTGCAACTGCAAGTCCGCCGTGTGTGGAAGTCACACAAGCTGTGCGGCTTGGTAAGTCTTCACAGGATCGGCGCTGGGCCAGCGTTCGACCTCAGCTTGGCTTGTGCTCAGGCCAGCAGTTCAAGTCAGAGGTCCTTGAAGCTTTGACGGACGATGATGTGAAGGTCGGAGGGGGAGGAGGGGGACGAGGGGCATGCGAGGAGCTGTAATTTCTACTTGCTTCCGTCGGAAGCTGTCACAAAGTGCGTGCCGTTGGGGAGACCAGCTGGGCCGCTCGTGCTCTTTAGGGATGGGTGGCCGTTCCGCAGGTGAAGAAAGCAGCGCTGGAGCTTTTACCCCAACTGGGCGTGGAGCATGCTGCAGACGTGGTGGAGTTTTTGACCTCCTCCAGTCCGGAACTGCCGCTGGGAGCAGGCAGTTCATGAAATGGGGAGGGCCCGGAAAAGGAGGATTTTTGCCCGGGACCTGGGCAGAAGGGTTCACAGTTTCTCTCCAGACTAGTGGCTGATGATCTTTACTTGCAGTCTGGTGTTGTCGGGAGACAAGTTGCTTGCTAAAGGCACCCCCGACGCCGGCACCCCGCCGCGGCCGGTGACCCATATAAGGTTCGATCAGAGCTTCTAGTAGTCCATGGTCTATTTGGACGGGACATAAGGGGAACTCACTGAGTTCCCCTCCAAAACGCAGGCGACTCACATTGAGGTTTTGCCCCAAAACCAAGGCGAGTGACGGCCGCGGAGGCTGGGTCCGGCAATCCACGGCCTGCTTTGCTTTTTGCACGGAGGGCTTCTGGCAATGCTGCATGAAGTCTCGTGAGGGTATCAGAAGCAGAGTCATACATTTGCTGTCCTTGGGGCCAAACCTTGCCACTGCGGGCTCCTCCGCAATGTACTTGATTGCTTTTATGTTGGAAGCCGTGCAGTGTAGATGTTTCTTCCCGGTGTCCGCTTTGGCGGCACAAGTTTCATTTCGAGAGCCGTCTGAGTGAGTCCCTTCCACGAGGCCTTGGGCAAGATGGGCATTTGGCAGTTGCTGGAGGAGCTAAGGCGGGAGCTCGCAAAAATGGAACCGGTTGCGGCGTTGCGGGAACCACAACCCTTAATTGTTGGCTTGGATTGGTGGCTTGACTCCTGCCTATCATAGCACCTGTGGGCAGGTGCCGGAAAAGTCTTGTCCTCCTGAAGGAAGCTTGTTCGGGTGCCGTTTTAGTGGGAGGGTAATGCCCGGACAGCCGGACAGCCAGGCCTTGCCTAGCGGATGAAAGCAGCAACGTGGTCAAAGCGGGTCTTGGGGCAGTCCAGCAGCCTGGAGCAGTGATTGGCAGACTGCTTTCTGATTTGTCCCCCTATGTTTGCCATGTCTGTGTCAGGGTAGGAAACGAGTCAGAAAATTGGGTCAAGATGTGTGGGTGTGTGTGCATGTCCTTTGTTTTTGGATTGAAATGGGCTTGACGTTGGGCTTTCGGCTTCACGGTGGCTTTTGGTTCTGAAGGTCGTTTTGGGGTGAGTCTTGGTTCCACTTGCGGTGGAAATTGCCCTTAGTAGTTAATGGGGGGTGATATTTGCTTGAGTTGTTGATCTTGTGTTTTGTTGGTCTGCTTTTTTTGTTTAACTTACCTCTTAAAAACACAACTTTTCAACTTTTTAGGTAACATGGGCTATATGTCTGTAAAAGGTTAACTTCCCCAGGGCTTGGAGTTTTAAGGGGTAAGTTAATTGCCAGGCACAATGTGACAATGTGGGTCAAGAGGAAACTGAGACTCATGTAGGTGGACATGTAGGTGGCCAGCTTTTGCCCTCTAAGTATATGTTGACATTCTACCCTGGCCAAGCCTGCCGCAAGCGGACGTTGATTTAATTACAGGGCCTACATATATACATCTCTCTCTGTATATATATATATACACATGTGGATAGGTCCACGTGTTTGTTCACAACAAACACACGCACCGTTTCAAGCATCGAAAAGGTGATTCCCACACAACCAGGAGACATGACAAAACAACAACCATGGCCCAAAGACTGAGTTATAGGTGGCCCAAATTGCAATTTACCCAAGCACCACGGGGATGGGTATCTTCCCTAGGCCCCACAAAAAGAAGAACATGCAAGGCCAAGGGACCTCAGGTCCGACCAACTCTCCTTTTCCGAGGCGCTGGGGCGATAATGGCCAGGCGCTGGCCAGCTCTGTGGTGAGCTGCCTCAGCCACACCTGCGCAGGAGCGGGTGGAAGACGGGAAGAGTCCTGATGTTTCCTTTGCTTTCGTTGTGATTTCTCTTGTTTACTTGTTTGCTCGTTTGCTCGTTTGCTCGTTTGCCTGCCTGTTTCCCACCTGTTGAGCAATCCTTAATTAGCTTCCCTTCGCGGGCTGCTCAAGGAGGAGATATGATGTGAGGAGTTCTGTGGCTGGCAGATCGAGGGGATGGCGTGCTGAATGGCATGGTTGCTCTTTGGTTTGACCGACGTGGCCATCTTACGTTTTCATTGTTGGGTGGAAACTGATGCTTTACAACCACAAGCTAAGCAAAGAGTGATTCGTTTCCCAGCGTTGACTAGCAAAGGTGGTAGAAACTGGTTTCTGCAGTGTTCAAAGACCAACCAGAAAAGAGAAATAACAGCATCCTCAATTTTTCTTGCAGGGAAACCACTAAGAGGTGGATGGACCATTTTTCAATTCCAGGCTTGACGGACCGTTCCCTCCCAACTTGTGCATTGGAACCCGGAACGGAAACCGCGCACGGGTCCCAAACAGGTTCTGGGGTGGCTTTGGCCGGAACGATGCATACGTGCTTGCAAGGCGCCAAAAAATAAATCCAATCGCCTCCATGAATGGCTTGGGTCATCTGAAGCACCCGAGGTCCGTGTCTGAAAACCCTGGCTGAATCCATTGTATCATACGCTGTGACGCTGTGACGCTGTGTTCTAAGGGGGCCATCAGGCAGGAAGTGTTGGTTGGTAGGAGCAGGACAACACAGCTTTGCAGCGGCCGAGACATGGCTTCACCACTTGCTCCTGTTGAGCAGTGTTGTTTTCCCAGTTTGTTTGCGCCGCTTGTGACGCTTTGCTGCCCGTTCCCTTTGAGATCTGGCTGAAGGGAGCCACCCCAGGCCAGTTCAGTCCCGAGCCCCTGGCAGGAGTACGCTGCGAGGCGGTGAAGGTGCGGTGCTGTTTTTTTGTTATTCTATGCGCGTTGCTACTCGCATCGTTCTCATGCGAAAGGGCACCCTATGATCCCTCGTTTTGCTTCACCCCTCCCTCAAGGCGAAAGTGTCCGCCACAGGGGCTCGACTACGTATCCCCAGGTGCCCCGGATTTACGATTGATTTCGCTGAGTGCCCAGTGATACAGCTGAGACAGCATATGCCACAGATGTTAGCGGGAATCTGAGCCGATGCCCCGCGCAGGCGCTGACCTCCTTTGCTGAAGCCGGCGAGCGCTTCGCAGGCGGGAAAGAAGGAATGCGGAAGGTCGTTGGTCATATTCGGCCATTGAGTCATTGACAATTGAGTGAGCAGGAAGTGCTGTGGCCTTGGCATTCGCAGGTCGGGTGGCAGAGCTGTTGGGCGACAGCGACAACCAGACAAAGGAGGCTGCTGTCGCCTACTTTGAACGCCTAGGCTGGGGGTTCACGTTGAGGACAAGCAGCCCGCCCCTTGTTGCAAGTTTAAGACTCACCTTTGATTTTGTGTGGGACAAAGTGTGGGAACAACCCACCTGAGGTGGGTTTGATGTTCGTGAAAATCCAGCAAAGCACGTCACGAATGGATGTGAGAACTTGGGTTGCGATGGCATGGCTTGTTCACTTGGATCTTCTTGCCAGCTTCTCGTGGAACGGCCCTTGGCCCCACTTTGTGGTGCACCGGCCTGCCGCGACTTCGCGCACGCTGATACTTCTGCTCGGAATATCTCATCCAAAACAAGCGTATGTGAGCGTGATGGCATATGCCATACTCATACAGTGTATAGTTACACGTGTCATTATATGACGGAGCACTCTCTAACTGTTCTCCCAACCGCGCTTGCGCGCTCGCAGGCATGCATACCAGCGCGGTTACATCATACCTGCGCTGTGCACTGCAGATGCACATGCAAAATTATTTGTCAAGTACAGTATATAGTATAGATGGTGGTCAGTGGTCATCGAGTCATGGTGTCAATATTGGCACCCTCATCTTGGAATGGTTAGTTGGGGTTGGTTCCGGGTGGGTGTGGGAATGACTTTGGGTTGGTTTGTGCGTCGTTGGGCTAGCCGAAGGCCCGCTACGCGCTTTGGGGTTGGTTTAGGACTGGTGCTTGGAGGTTGGTTGAAGGCTGGGCTCGGGCCTTGTCTGCAAATAATTCGTTCAGGGTTGATGAACGGCTGATTCACACAGGGTTGAGAGTTGGTTTGCTGGGCCACTACCCCTACTTTAGAAAGTGGCTACACCTAGGGCTGACCCCCAAACGGCCATGACGAGCTCCACATACAACACATCCAGAAACTCCCCATATATCCAAGCGTATCCACATCAGCACATGGCCCTTCTTTCGGCGCACCGCTTCCAGCTGTCCAGCTGTCCAGCTGCCAGCTGCCAGGCCGGCGCGGTCTGCGCCGGGCCGAGGCTGTGGCCAGGGACCTCTGCCAACGCCGCGCCTGCGCCGCCGCGCTGGCGCTGGGGCACATGGGGGCCGAGCACTGCGCGGCAGAGGCGCGATGCGCGATGCGCGATGCATGCGCGAGAAACGTGAGGGGAGGGGGGGGAGGGGGGAGCGGTGTGCGTGTGCGTGTGCGTGTGCGTGTGCGTGTGCGTGTGTGCGTGTGGGCGTGTGCGTGTGCGTGTGCGTGTGTGTGTGTGTGCGGAGTGGCAGAATACCCTGTCACCACAATTGCGCGCAGGGGAGTGCGGCATGACTGAGGGACCGCACTCAACGAAGCTACCTCAGTCCTGGGATACCGGATCTGATCAATCCGGCGTACCTGCTTTCCGTGATTCTGAATGTCCTTTTGGCCCCCTTGGTTGCGGCGCTGTTTGTGCTTCTTGTTCTTTCGGGTAACGTTTTCGTTTCTAGAGTGAAGCCAAGTGACCTGTCAGCCGAAACTTATCCGACTCGAGACTCATCAGTTGTACTCGAGACTCATCAGTTGTACTCGAGACTCATCAGTTGTACTCGAAAGACTAGCACCCTCCATCTGGAGTTTAAGTGTGTACACCCCATTCGTGGGGAATCCTCGGGTGTACCCATTGTGTGACCCCGGGCCGGCTCTGTCGGAAAATTTGACCTCAACGTGCTTATCATAGATCCGCGGAATTTCACATTTAACCAGGAACGAGGTTTCACTAAAGGGAAGACAGCCACCTCTTCATAGCGACGTTTCACCACGCTGGCTGCCGCTGCTTTCATGAGCTGCCGTTGATTGTGGCTTGTCGCTTGTATCTTTCCTCAAGGACGAGCTTTATCATTTTCGGACGTGTTGTTGTTTTGTCATGTCGCGTCGGGATGATCGTGACAGATCCAGAACTCGGCGCAGACGGGCTCGGAGTCCTTCCCCTCAGCCTCGCAAAGCACGCCGACGTGAACACAATGACAATCAGGTCTCGGAGGGCATGGATTGGAACAACTTGGTATCCTGGCAACACACTTCGGGCTACAACTCCAACAACACCTTTCCAGTGATGCCAGGCAATTATCAATCGAATCCAAACCCTGCGCAGCAATTTCATCATTCACCGGTCAACTACATGATGCCGGTTCCTCCGGAGCCCACGCCAGCAAAGTTTATGACGCCCGTGATGCCACCACCGGTTACTTCTACCCAAGCTTCGCCATCGCCTGGACACCCAGCTGCGCTGCCAGTTCGACCTCAGAAAGCATGGCTTACTCCACCGGTTGACTGGACACCTGGTGATGGAATGCTCGACATCAACCAGCTCTACTCCTTTAGCCTGCCCATGACGGTTGCCAACACGCCGCACAACAATCTACGTGACATGTCTGGCATGGACATCCGGGACGTTCGCCTGGTACAGGTCATTCACGGGGGTATCACCAACTGGCTACTGCGACCATTTGCTCACGGCAGATTCGTGACGTGGGAAGGCTTTCGCACTCGCACCGAGGCCCTGCTTTGGAGTACCTGTTCCAAACTACTACGACGATCACAGTCGGTCAACCTGCTTACTTTGGAAAAGGACCTTGCCAACTCGCTGGAGCTCAACCTTGACGACTTCAACCAGCGCATCAAGGTTCACGACCATTTGGCCAACTTGGTGCTTCAGTTTCTTCAGCAGCACCACGCGACTCTCACGCCCTCTACCCAAGCAGAAGACATGGTCAAGAAGTTCAATGATCTAAATCGAGCTCATGAGTTGCTCCAGGCTCAGTATTCGGCATCGCTACGCGCTTCGTCTTCCCCTACGGTGCCAACCCAGAAAGATGATGCAGAGTTGGTTACACCACCACCGGCCAACCACACACAATCTTCGACACCGACCAGCTCCCTACCTACGGTCAGCGCAGCGGCCCTCGATGGCAAGTCGTTTGATGGCTCGGTGCAACCTCGGATCATCCAGTGTCTTCACGGGCTTTCTTCACCGCCCTCCAAGCCGGCGGCGTCACAATTGCTCACCATGCACAGCACGCCAGAAGACGTCATCAAGCACTACACATGGACCAGTGATCAGCCACGCTTGTATCTCAAGCAATCGCCCACTACCACTACATTGGCGTCATTGATCAAGTGGGCCAATCACCCATCCCGTCCCAACGGCAACAAGTCCTTGGAATCCATGTCGACCCAGCTCTTTCAGGCGCGTCAACGCACCCCAAAAGGAGACGCACCTACGTTTGCGGCTATGGCAGCTCTGTGGGGACTGGAGCCCGGCTACATCACCAAGCTCACTGACAAAGCGTTGTGTCACCTCATCGTGACTGCCCGCTTACTCACAGGTTGAGCAGTTACCTTTGCTTACATATGAGCCCGGAGTGGCAGTTGTGTCATGATTGATGAACGGTTCAAAACTTGTCCGTCCTCTTCTTGCTCTGTACTTGTTTGATGAAGCGCTTGTCTTTGCTTGCGTTGTGAATTGCTTGGTGCTCATTGCTTCTTGCATTTATGTCGCCGCCACGTTGTAGTTTTCATTGGTTGCATTTTCACCATATTGGTCACCGTCCAGAGACAATGTTGGATCGGTTACCACCGCCAAGGCCTCTTGCTCCCAATCCCCCACGCAGCGATCGTGAGCCAGGACAAGCATCGTCTACCACGCCTGATTCGGATTCGGACGGTTCAGTTCGTCCACATCCGGGTGCTTCATCGTTCCGTCCATCTCCGACGGTGGTTCATGGACCTCGTGAACTTCTACAGGAATTCACTATTGCCCTTCGCAATGTACATCTTGAACCGTTCACGGCATGGACGCAGGGTGAACTCGATGAGATGGTCAGACGCAAAAAGGACAAGGATTCCAGGCCCACTTACAAGACCATAGCCCGTTTCCTTCAGAAGCCCATTGAGGAAGTCAAGCAAGCCTGGAAGGTCTACCAGCGGCTTGAGGCTCGCGCTTAGTTGACCTTGCATTATGAGAGCGGAAAAACTATTTTTGAGCGGCAATGCATTCTGTGGACGTTGCAGATCGACGATATGGTTTGCATAGCGGACATGGTAGATTGCGTGAATCTTTCCTCATTGGCTTGAATGACATGGTTGGCATGGATGGCAGGCATGGATGACATCGATGGCATGGATGGCATGGATGGCAGGGCTGAAACCGCTTATCTCTCCTTGTCTTGCGGTTTTGAGTGTTCAAATCATGTTGGAGCAAGATGTGCAGACATTCATAACTTGGACCCATGGAGCGCAGTCGACGTGGTTACAGTTTCACGGACCCGGTACATTGCTTGACAGACAATTTCGATTGACTGCTTCACCGCCAACCCCCACTACTTCTTCCGCACCCACAGTTTATGCCCTCATTGCGAGCTTCCTCTAGCCCTTCTCCTCGAGGACAGTCATGCCCGGCCACCATGGGATCTCAGCTCACACGCCGCTCAGTTTTCAGCGCTGACCAATCCCGTGATGATGATCTACGCAGTCTCACGCGTTCTCCAAAACGCTCTCGAACAGCATCCGCCTCTGCCATACGGCGTTCTCGGCGGCCCTTCACTGTGTTCCCTTCGAAACGGGCTACTCGTCCAACACGGTCCGCAACGACAAGATGCAAGCATTACTGCCATGCTTTTCTACATCATGGACGAAAATGTCTTTCTCCCTGTGTTCGTCGCCGACCAGGACATTACCACTGCAGGTGCGCGCGTCATCAGCGGCGGTGAATCATTGCCGCCATACACTACAGACTTTGTTGATTCGTCCTGCCTTCCGTTTGAAAAGTTGCCTTGCATTGCACCGCTTGCAACATTCACGTTGCATTCAAGTTTGTCATGGCATGAGTGTTTCGCCGCAGATCCCTTGGCTTTGCGCTTCCTTGTAACAGCATTGTGACGACACATTTGGCTGTCATGTATCCGCACTATTTTGAGTACCACATCGAGAGAGGCTTGGAATGGATTCGGATTTACACACCGGGCCCGTGGCAACCTGTGGCCACAGCCACCCTGGGACGAGCCCCGGACCACGCTTCCAGGTATCGGGAGTGGCGCAAGTCATACCACTTCGTCACAGACAGCACCGGAGGCACCACTGTCCCAATGTCAGGCCTATTTCGTACGTGTCCTATCACGTGTGGGAATTCCAAGACTGGAACACGCGAGGTTATCAACGCCTTGGCATTCCACGACCAACCATTGAATCGACGGAGCTCGTGAATGAAGAAATTACTTCCTCGTCGGTGTCTTCAGTTCCTGATGGTGCGTGGCGGGAACCTTCCCCCCCACCGAGCTATGATCCCAATTTCGATTGGAACGAGTCGGATTGATGCTTGAGCAACATGTTGGTTAAAACGCTGCGCTTGTTGTCCGATTTGCTTGCAGCTTCAACTTGGGTTGCCTTGGCTTGTGTTGTGTTTTCTCCATATCCATGCATCGTCCATGGCCCTGCGAACACAAGCGTTGAATGGATTCGAGTCTATGTACCCGGTCCGTGGCAACCAGTCGCCGACTCCACCTTGGGACCGGCTCCGGATGACACATCAACCTATCGGGAATGGCGCAGGTTCTACCACTTCGAAGTGTATTGGCCTAGTGACAGCACGGGAGGCACCACTCTGGGTTCCTTTTCCCAGCCGGTCTCATATGCATCCTTTTGTACATGGCAATATCGTGACTGCGAGTGGCCTCGACACCTGAGTCGCGTCTTGCTACAAACCGCGGTGTTCGGCGCTGCATGTGCTGTGAGTGCTGGATTGAGTGTCTTGCGTTTGCTTGGCATGTTTGTTGATACGCCGCATGAAGTGCTTGTTGTCTGCAGCCGTGTACCTCTCGATTGTGCGTCTAGGGTTTGAGTTGTCATGCCGTGGCTGGAGTGGTGCCCGGATCCTCAACAACCAGACGCTCAATGGGTCAAGATTTTTCATCCGGGATCATGGACACCACAAGATGAACGTGATGATCCGCCTCCGCCTCATACATACAGGGAGTGGAAGGAGTTCTATGCCCCAAATCTTGATCATGATGGCGGGCAGCCCACCAAGAGCATTTCGTACAAAAGGGACTGGACCACAGAGGGCTACCGGCGTGCCGCACCCCCTGAAGCTGATCACGGCTTCAATTCGATGTCTCCTCATCAACATAGCGTGGCTACGCAATCTTCGGCTTTGTGTATGACGACGCAGATGTTGAACGCGATTCTTCGATCTTCGGATGCGTCGGCCTTCTCTACGGATGATCTCACTCGTCTTCAAGCTGGGATCTGTCAGCAATTATCGGATCGCGCGCGTCAAGCGTCCTACCAGCACCAACCACCACGTGCATCTCGTGGAGTTGAACCACCTGAGTCTATTGGGGTCGTTGACCCAAATCTGCATGCGAGCCAACCATGCAGTTCTACCAACACGGAGAAGCCTATCTTCGAGCTAGGCGATGCATAGACTGATGCGCTTTGATCATGGCATAAAAGAGTGTTTTCTCTTGCTCTTGCTTCCATGTGTGTTTGCAGGTTGTGCATGGTTGTGCATGGTGACTGTTCCCTTGCTAGCTGAATCGGAACCTGCGGTACGCCCTGTCTTTCACTCCGACATGGACATAGATGATACGACTCAGACGTCGGCCCGAACTGCCGAGCAGCACCCATGGCTCGAATATTCCGTCTGGCATGATCAGGAGTGGGTGCGGATCTACACTCCAGGACAACTTCAACGGTGGCACCCAGAAGAGGCAGTACCTGACCTACCAGACAACTTGTTTCGGGAGTGGAAACGGGTAACTGATCCAGACGATGGGACTGGTGAACCCAGTCAAGCATGGACAATTCGTGACTGGCAACATCAAGGTTACCAACGCATTCTGTCTCGCTTTGAGTCCTTCTCCACTCATCATGCTCAGGATCAACCACTTGTTGACGTGCAAAATTCGGACATCATCCGGGTCGAGGAGATGTTCACCTATGCCCCCCCGATTTCTGACGGTGATCGCTCGACTGCTTTGCAGCTTTCTCCTGTCTTCTATGGCGGCACACGTCTTGCTCATCTTGGAGATCTTTCGTCCCCGTCTTCTGAGCGGCCTCGTGCGGAGCGTGCAGTTTCGCGCTCTCCCAGACGCAGCGGATATTTTGGTAGACGTTAGCAAGGATGAGCCGATTGTGTGATCTTCCGACGGGAACAAAAGACTTTCGCCCCTCACTGAGGGGCGTGTGTGTGCGGAGTGGCAGAATACCCTGTCACCACAATTGCGCGCAGGGGAGTGCGGCATGACTGAGGGACCGCAGTCAACGAAGCTACCTCAGTCATGGGATACCGGATCTGATCAATCCGGCGTACCTGCTTTTCCGTGATTCTGAATGTCCTTTTGGCCCCTTTGGTTGCGGCGCTGTTTGTGCTTCTTGTTCTTTCGGGTAACGTTTTCGTTTCTAGAGTGAAGCCAAGTGACCTGTAAAGACTAGCACCCTCCATCTGGAGTTTAAGTGTGTGTGTGTGGGGTGGTGGTGTGTGTGTGTGTGTGTTTGTGTTTGTGTTTGTGTTTGTGTTTGTGTTTGTGTTTGTGTTTGTGTTTGTGTTTGTGTTTGTGTTTGTGTTTGTGTTTGTGTTTGTGTTTGTGTTTGTGTTTGTGTTTGTTTGTGTTTGTGTTTGTGTTTGTGTTTGTGTTTGTGTTTGTGTTTGTGTTTGTGTTTGTGTTTGTGTTTGTGTTTGTGTTTGTGTTTGTGTTTGTGTTTGTGTTTGTGTTTGTGTTTGTGTTTGTGTTTGTGTTTGTGATTGTGTTTGTGTTTGTGTTTGTGTTTGTGTTTGTGTTTGTGTTTGTGTTTGTGTTTGTGTTTGTGTTTGTGTTTGTGTTTGTGTTTGTGTTTGTGTTTGTGTTTGTGTTTGTGTTTGTGTTTGTGTTTGTGTTTGTGTGGTGTGTGTGTGTGTGTGTGTGTGTGTGTGTGTGTGTGTGTGTGTGTTGTGTGTGTGTGTGTTGTGTGTGTTGTGTGTGTTGTGTGTGTGTGTGTTTGTGTTTGTGTTGTGTTGTGTGTGTGGTGTGTGTGTGTGTGTGTGTGTGTGTGTGTGTGTGTGTGTGTGTGTGTCTGTCTGTCTGTGTCTGTGTCTGTGTGTGTGTGTGTCTGTGTGTCTGTGTCTGTGTCCTGTGTCTGTGTCTGTGTCTGTGTGTCTGTGTCTGTGTCTGTGTCTGTGTCTGTGTCTGTGTGTGTGTGTTGTGTGTGTGTGTGTTTGTGTGTTTGTGTGTTTGTGTGTGTTGTGTGTGTGTGTGTGTGTTGTGTGTTTGTGTGTTTGTGTGTTTGTGTGTGTGTGGGTGTGTGGGTGTGTGGGTTTGTGTGTTTGTGTTTGTGTGGTTGTGTGTTTGTTTGTTTGTGTGGTTTGTGGGTTTGTGGGTTGTGGGTTTGTGGGTTTGTGTGGGTTTGTGGGTTTGTGGGTTTTGTTTGTGCTTTGTGTTTGCGGGTTTGTGTTTGCTTGTGTGTTTGTGTGTTTGTGTGTTTGTGTGTTTGTGTGTTTGTGTGTTTGTGTGTTTGTGTGTTTGTGGGTTTGTGGGTTTGTGGGTTTGTGTGTGTGTTTGTGTGTGTGTTTGTGGGTGTGTGTGTGTGGGTGCCGGGTTGTTTGGGCACAAGGGGTGCAAGCCGCCTCAATGGGGCTTACTGGGTGTACCGTCTGAGTTAAAGTTATTTTATATCCAAACAGAGCCGGCCAAGTTGATGGAGAGACACGGGTGGGGGTCGCCGTCCTGGCAGATTTTATTCGAAAGAGGGTGCGTGAGCCAATGGCAGTGTGTTTTGTTTGGGGGGTCCCTTGGTCGCCTTTTCAAGCAAGCCAAAAGGAAAGTAACGTGTTTCTTAGGATTTTGACCCAGTATGAATGCACCTTGGGCTAACTATTTAACAGGGCGGGGGTCAGTCTCCCATTCAGACAGCAGCATGATTTCTTGGGAGCAACCCGCTTCCTATGTGCCAATTTCATCATTCTGGGTCAACGTTGGCGCATAAATATGTATCCTTTCTTTCTTTATTCCTCCCTCCCTCCCCTCCCTCCCTCCCTCCCTCCCTCCCTCCCTCCCTCTCCTCCTCTCCTCTCCTTCTTCTTCCTTCCTTCCTTCCTTCCTTCCTTCCTTCCTTCCTTCCTTCCCTTTCCTTCCTCCTTCCCTTCCCTCCTTATTATCTATCTATCTATCTAATCTATCTATCTATCTATTCTATTATCTTGTTCATCTAATTTGATCTGATCTGATCTCATCTATCTACCTGCCTACCTACCTACCGTCCCATCCGCCCGTCCGTCCATCCGTCCATCCGTCTATCCAGCCATCCATTCATCAATCAAGCAAGCAAGCAAGCAAGCAAGCAAGCAAGCAATTTGTCTGTCTGTCTGTCTGTCTGTCTGTCTGTCTGTCTGTCTGTCTGTCTGTCTGTCTGTCTGTCTGTCTGTCTGTCTGTCTGTCTGTCTGTCTGTGCGTGTAGAACTGTATGATTGTGTCTCTAAATGAAGCCTCCTCAAACAAGCACTATATGTAGATACACATCATCCAAATATAGACATGTATGACAGATGCTGTAGGCACACCGGCACACGCGCGCACACATAAACCCTGTCAAATCCAAATTTTCTCAATATTGAACTTGGGTTGGCACTGGGCATCGCAAGCTCAGGCCTCATCTAATAGAGTGATGTCCACTTAACAGAAGTCAAAATGCACACGGGGCGGCATGTCGAGGGTTGCTTCTGGTGCCCTTGATTTTATTGCTCTTTGGGTCTATATGGGTTTGTAGCAGGTTGCAGCCCCTGGTTGTATGGCCCCTGCGTTGTACAGGGATTGGGTTATTGCGAATTCGGCGTGTGTCAGCAAACATAGCCACCTGGAGGCAAAGGCCAAGTTGTTCAATGTCTCTGAATCCTGGACCCTGCGTAATAGAAAGAATTGGCTGCAATCCTCCATCTGATCTTGCAATGTTTCTATGCTGGAGACATTTGTGAGGGGATTCTGATCAATGCCGACTGAGCTCCGACGTGAGGTTCCCAGACTACCTGCGACTTGTGGCCCAATTGGGCAGGATCTATACTGACCCGCCAGAGTCCTTTCTCGTCAGCCATTCGCAACTTGAAGAGGCTATGAAGTTTAGTAGGGCGTCATTACTTTGCAAAGTTGGTGGACACAAATCCCAATATATCCTTGATGTTGGTCAATCGGCCCAACCACTTTGAGTTAGAATTGCTTGTCTATTCCTTTTCCAGCCGGGTTTAATTCAGGACTTGCAGGCAATGGGAGAGTCCTATAGGGTTGTGCAAATGGGCATTTCAGCACCGCAGTGAAATCGTCAGTGAGAAGAACATTATATTAGTGATATTGATGGCTTTGCTTTTTTCCTGGGCCTTGAAGCCAAGCACGCACCACACACACCTACATCTCTATATATGTAAATCTATGCGCATGTACCAAACCTTGTCAATCCACTCGCCTACACGACACCTCATTGGTCTGCTTGTCCCTAGTCCGCCCACTCGTCCACTCGCTGGCCCACTTCCCGCCCACTTGACTGCCCACTCGCTCACTCGTCCACCAGCTTGATCGCTTGCGTGTCCGCTTGTTAGTTTCCCTGCTCGTTCGTATGGGCCCGACATACAATGCAAACCCGACGTTTTGGATTATGCTCATAAGTTTCTTAAGCTACTGTTTGTTTTTAGTATTATTATTATTGTTATTATTATTATTCTTATTATTTAGATATGCCGTTCTTTAAATGTTCAATGTCCTTACGAGTCCTTACGCATTTGTTTTTATTTAGCATATTTATCTTACATTTTGGCTTTTAAGAAAATGGCACGCCAGGTGGCGCAGCTTCTGCAGAACCATGAGGACCTCACCCTGGCGCTGAGCGCGGCTGGCCTGGAGCCGCGGGTGCCGGTGGAGTTGCGGAGGCGGGGCCCGCGGGGGAGTCGTTTCGTTGGCAAGTTGGGGGGCCAACCTCTGAGTAGAGGATTCACTGAGAAGGACATGGAGAATCCAATTTCCTCATGTCAACCTCTGACTACTAACCCCCCCCCCCTCCCCCCAAGCAATTGAAGCCCCTCAAGTACATGTCTGGGGCGGGGGTCAATTGATTTAGAAGTGCTTAGTATTCCTTTGGGGTTCTCTTGGTTTACTATTAGTTCAGTATTGGTGTGCATTCTTTTTGGGGCCTTTTGGTTTAGTATTAGTTTAGTATTAGTTTAGTTTGATTTTCCTTGATTTCTGTTGTTTGTAAGTAGAGTTGGGCCTTGTAGGTTTGGCAGTTAGAAAGAGAGTTTCTTAGCAGGGAGTTTCCAAAGGGAGATCTGGAAAAGGAAGGTTCTGAGGGTTGTTGTGGGGAAGTTTATTTGGGGGGCGGGGGGGCCTTAAATAATCTTTTTTGGATGCTTCCTGTACTACCCCTTGGCTGAAAAGACTAGGGGACAGTTTTTTTAAGTTTAAACAGAAGGTACCTTTTGAAACCACTTGAAACCACTTACTGTTTTCATTGTTGAGGTTTGGACCCTGGTTTAGGGTAACGAAGGGAAGGGAAGGTGTAAGTGAGCCAGTTTGCTGGGCCGGTCAGTGGAGAAAGGTAAGAAGGTTGGTTGGAGATACTTTATGTAGGGGTGGTGGTTTATTATTCAGTGCAGGGTCAGGAAAGTACTGTCTTTGGCGGTGGATCACTAATCATAGGTTGACATTACACATGTAGGTTGGGGGCTGTGGCTCCCTTTGTCTACCAGGGCCGCTGGGCATCTGGGTCGTTGGCCCCACGCCACCTGTTGCGATGGCTGCAAAGACAGAGCCGTTTGCGCTGCTCAGCCCGACCTAGAACCGAAGAGTTCAAAAGCTCAAAGACGTGGTGCAGCCACGGAGTCATGGGAAGCACTGAAGAGCTTGCTTGTCCTCGGGGGGTATGGTTGTATTCCCGGAATGCTGATTTACTAACACGGCCTGGCGGATTCATGGCGGTGTTTCTCCCGGGAGGGACACCCTCCCATCAGCTGATGCCAGGCCCGAGTGTGCTGCAGCTTTCGCTTTGTCTCTGATGGGCGCGGAGGGTGGCAAGTACGCAGATTCTTGGCAAGCATGAGATTCAGAGCCATAGCCAGGGGAGCGCTATCATGACAACTATTGGCTAAGGGCTATTAATAATAGACCATTGACGACCCGAGCCTTCTTGTGGCTCCCCTTGCTACCGCTTTGGATTAAAAAAGGTGCTGCTTCAACTTCGATTGGTGCCATGCTGCAGGGTTCGCCGCCTCAGCTAGAGGAACAAACGAAACAAACCACCTGAAAGAAACACTAGTTTTCAAGCCAGAGCGCCACAGGGTTCTCTGTATCCCTCCTTAAACATCACCCCACCAGCAGGAACTCTTGGCTTCTCCAAAAATTGATGGTTAAGCCGCCCCCGCTGCGATACATAAGGACTCACAAGGACCATAGATGTCCTTTTAGGTCAATTTGGCTAAATATGGGCTGGTTTGAGCTGTCTATTTGATTTAAACAGACGCTAGGATAAGCAATGTCTCACCTTCGGGTGCCTCTGTGACCAAGGACTCCATCGCAGAATTGCTGGCGCAGAATGCGCCGCCCGAGATGACGGCTTTTTGGCAAAGGGCACAGGGCACAGGTCGGCAGTTGGACCCACTTCTGCAAATCCAACACCAGACTGGAAAGGCGACTTTCAAGCGAGCCTGAAAGTTTCAAGTCTTCCTTCAAGTTTTGTTTGCCAGGCATTTGGAGTTGCCTGGATTGGTCCAGACTTGGAGGTGGCTGGCGGACGCCTGTTTGGCTGTAGAAGAGCGACTGGTAGGCCTGCCCCACCCAACCAACTGTGCCTGACACGAGGCCTCTTTGATTCGGTCGCTGGCCAGCATGGGCAGCTTCGCTGGTGGGCACAAAGGGCAGCCTGGCGAGCTACTTTCTCTCACGCTTTGCGCTTTTTGTTTTTGTTTTTTCTTGAGTTTAACGGCCACGTGCTGGAGAGGGGCCCAACACATTTCTGCGAGTCGTCAACTCATAGGTAGGGTATCGTATTAGGGACATGTGCCCGCAGGGCACGTGGTTATTTCCCTGATTGATGCCTGGCGATGCTGATGCTCACTGCTAGCTGGGTGCTAAATTATCTACAATGTCCAGTTTCCCCTGCAAGGGGATAGACAAACACCCACCGGCCTATCCACCAACCTATGCACCGCCCATTTGGCAAGCCCGCCCTTTTGGTTTCGCCCTTGGTCTTCGTCCTGGCTCCACAAGGTTGCCCTCTTTGCTGCTGGCTTCAGGCAAGTGACTGGCAAGCGGCTGACTTGCGCAAGGCTTCGATGCAGGACCCAGGCTTTCCTTCCAAGCTGAGACATGACGTCAAACTCCGGCGTCCCAGGAAGCTGCAGGCCTTTCTGGAGCACCCGCAGACGGTGGTGCGAGAAGCTGCTTGCTTTGCGGTGGGACTTATGCTGAAGGCGCGCTGGGGGCTAGAGGACACTCCTTTTCGGTTGGATTCCCAGTTTCGGCCAGTGTGCCAATCCTTGGGTTCCCTGGTTTTTCCGTCCCATGTGTCAATTTCGGAACACATTCCTTACCGAATGGGTGAATTTCATTTGGGATCCGGAATCCAGATGCCAGCAGGAGGGCGAGGCGCTGCTGCCGCGGCTCCAGGACTCTCAGGCGCCGGTGCGGCGCCAGGCAGCGCTGGCGTTGGGCCAGCTGCAGGCGAAATCGGAGTCCGGGTCGATGCGGATACCCGGCGTTTTGAACAGTCGGGTGCTACCCTCCTGTCCACCAGGATTGGAGCTGACTGGGAGAATAGTGGACAGGAGGCTATCCTTTTTTCAATCATGGAAGTGGACGGGGGGGGGTTTTGGGGGTTGGATCACTACCATCCTCGGTAAAATGCCTCTTGTCCACCTGGAAAAAGTGTAAACAGCAGGGCTGGAAAATGAATGTCCATCCCCTTTTGGTTTCCCTTCGCGTAACAATTAATAATGATTGGGAGAACGATGGCACAGTCCCCTCATTTGGCTGTACCCCCCCCTTGCGTACCCAAAGAACATTTTGCGATCATCTACTTTCACCCTATGGGTGTCACAATACGGGTCCTTTATGGTGTCCATGTCCAACCAAACCATTTTGGCTTTGGCTCCTCTAGTGGTCCAAGCCGACCGATTTTAAGAGTGTACCCTCAAAAGGGCACATTGACATACCCAAATGGATACATTGATCACACTGAACTGGATGAATAGATGAATATAGATGTGTGCATATGCCGGTAATATTCAGCTGCGTGGCTTCGTCTGCCACCTGGCTTATTGCGTTCCTCGTCGCCTAGCCGAAGCCGCTGAAAAGCCTCCTGTGGCTTCGGGGCTGGGCTCGGTTTGGCCCAGGTGTTTGCTAGAGCGCCATTTCAGCAGAGGTTTGGATGGCCGGGAATTGGGCTGAAGGCGTTCTGCCCCTTGCCTTGTGCAAAGCCGGTTGGCTCAAGCCCCGAGGAGGCGAACCGAACCACACAGACACACACACACACACACCTCACATGACAGCAGCGGTAAAAGTTTTGCCCCAAAGGCAGAGCAAACGCAGCGGGGCTTCGATATCTTGGAAGCTTTGCCGGGCGCATTCAATGCACATTACCAATGTCGGGCACAAGCAACACGCTAAGGGTAGGGCAGTCAAAGGCAGATTCCAGTTTATGTTTACAGCTTATCAGCGACTTGAGAAGATCATGGAGCAAGAGGGTCGCTTGGCACGAATGTGATGCCTGTCGGGTTCTAGATGAACAGATGAATGGGCGGACAAGGTCGTACGTAGCGTCGGCATTCCCAAGACAAGACTGCCCACCCTGAAATTCCATCGTATCTTCTGTTGTGAGAACGGGCAGTTTGAGGACCACTCCACTTGCTACCCCAAGAAGGCACGGGAGATGTTGTGCAAGATGCCCATCAGTACTCCAAAAGCCCCCCTTCATTCACGATGACAATGGGGGGGTACTGTACGGAAAGATGGCTTGGGATTTGCCGGGACCCGTGCTTTTACAGCTAGTTGACATGAACCACCCGTAGCAACATGCATTTGTAGATGAATCTCGCTTTGGAGGACCTCTTTTTTTGCTCCGCGTTAATCTTCAGCAAGGTGACCTGGCTATTCTTCAGCTCCGGACGCCAACGAGGGGCCAACCGGTTTTGATACGGCGTGGCTTCTTTGGCGGGCCCTCAACCCTTGACAAGACCTTTCAGCTTTCCCATTTGAGTTTATGATTCCAAAAGGTTCGCTCTTCTTGAGGTCCTTGCACGTCAGCTTCAGATTTGGCACGGTGCTGCTTCATCAGGGCCCCAAACACCTGCCAGGTTTTTCCACATCCTAGATCATGTGCGTGCTTCTTCGACGGTAGCCTTTTCAGGCTGGTTTAGAGGGGAGCCAACAGCCAAATCGCATTTCTTGTTTTGTTTTTTTTTGTGAGGGGGGGGGGGAGGGGGAGAAGGATGCTGTTTTGATACCTGCCCCGGTTGTATTGTTCCCTTAGAGGCAGTACGTCGCCCCAGGCCGCGTCGTGCCCATGAGCCCCCGACCGCGGACATCGTCATGGAGCACCTGGGCCCCCTTCTGGGCAGCGGCCTGGACACGAGAAAAGCGCTCGTTTCATGAGCAGCCCAGGCAGCTATCGTTTCTCCTTTCCCTTTGGAGGAGAGACCGACCCCAAAATCAACAAGTGTTTTTCGTCATGGCCAATTGGGGCTAATCTGGAGCCTGTTGCCTCTCCCAACCCAAATAGGGCACCCTAGGTTCCATGTTTGGTTGGAGTTCCTTATCCGCCCTTTAAGAGCCATGGAATCCAAGCAGCACGAGTAGGTTGTGTATGGATTTGTCGAGAATCAACAGCCGTCAAAACAAGAAACAAGGTGGACAGGAATGTGTTCTCGCTCGCCCAGCCAACCTTTCAAGAGCTTCAGGTCTTTTGGTCTTTCCTTTTTGGCTTGATAATTTATTTCCCGGTCTTTTGGTGTGGCTTCCAAAAAAACGCGGATGAGTCGAAAGAGGGTGTTTTATTGTTGGCTGCAGGCCAAGGCCGCGACTTCATGTGAAGTCTTGTGCTAGATTTGAGCCATGCAAGGCCAGGATACACGAAGTGGGAATGTGAACCAGGGATTAGTTGTACGGTTAACTCAAACCACTTACTTGTCTCCCATGCCTAAACGTTGGACCAAGACCAGGGACTATCGCCACTTCTACCCAGACCTTTTGGACTATAAATCATTGTTCCAACGGTTGGCAGGCCCCTTGCCAAGGCAGTCCTGCTGGAGAACATGGCGACGATCCTGCCGCTCGTTCCGGAATTTGTAGCAAGTCCATTTGGTTTTGGCACCCGCCAAACGGACAGTTGACGTTAGGGGAAGAAAGGGGGTCTCAACTGTTTTCCGTTGCACATTTGAGTATTTCACGGAGCTGCCGTTCTACAATTGGGCGCCTCTTCTCGGGTTTACCCATTGGTGGTTTCGTTTGATGGCTAGGGTGTCTTTCTGCTCGGTTTCAACAAGGGTAATCCCCAACCAATCCAAAAACCACCAAGGGTACAGTGACTTTCTTTTAGGGCCGGGCTGACCTACCCGGACATCGGCGTGGCGTCTCTCAACGGGGGCGTGGACATTTGTGCCGGGAGCGGCGGCGCCACGCCGGAATGCCAACAATCGCTGGCCAAGGTCTCGCGCATTGCGGCGATGCCTTTCGGCTGAGTCGGGACGGGGACGGCTTTCAGCTTCAAAACCCCTTTCCTCGGTTCACAGCTGAAGCTCAAAGCCGACCTAACCTTTTAGTTTTCTCTTTGTCCACCTTTGGAAATAGGTCCCAGGTCAAACTTTTTTCTAGGTCCTCTGGGAAAGTGAGTGTTTTTGGACCCCCCCCCAGAATTCTGCTAGATGACTATTTGGATCAACCACCATCAAAACGGTTTTCCAAATTATGCGCACTGTTACTGTGCGGAGGCAGGTCCAACTATCTTGCGGGCCCTCAGTTCGGAAATCAACAAGGAAGGGGATGGCCAGCTCCATTCCTTTGCTGATGGACCAGCGAGCTTTCCCTCCCCTAACATTGATTATGTCGGGGACTACCCGAGCGAGTTCAAACTCAAACGCCTTTTACCCTTAAATGCCCCAAACATGTGTTACTGTTGGCTGGGGCTACCCCAGTGAACAATGCCGCACTAACCTCGGATACATTGTGCAGCTTACTGGACTGAAAGGAAGAGGAGCAAACACTAGATACGGGCTGCTCGCATTGATGCATTCATTCAAGGGGCCAACAAGGATCAAGCTATTGCAAGGTTCTAGACAAAGGTTCGTCGGTGACAGTCCCACTTAATTAATTCTAAAACGCGTGGCTGCTTTTCCATCCTTTTGTTTAATCGAGAGTTTGGGGTAGACTCGTTCACTTCCAGGCAATGGCTACAGCAGAACAAACTCGCGGAGAAGAGCAGTGATCGGGGAAGGATGGGGGGTTCTTCCCTTCTTGCCAAGGGCCCGCATGTACCTGTTGCTTCTATTTGCTTTAAGAGGGGCTGGGAAGTGAGGTCAGGCCTGTTTTAGCAACCTATGGCCGCGCAAGAGCGGCCAGCCACCCGTGTATACTGAACATGGAGCCCAAGAACCCAGCAGATTCCGTTCCAACAAGTGGTTGGGTTTTGAGGGTCTCTTCCTTCTTACCCCTGTTCCGAAGACTCCTGACCCTCGGGCTCTGACCTTTCTCTCTGGACAGGTTCGGCCTCATTAGCGCCATTTGCACCTTCTTCACTATTCCGGTGGTGGGTGCCTGTGCCGAAGGGCTGTGCCATGGGGAACCTGAGGGTACCTTGGGGGCGAGTGGTTCTTGAGGGTGCCTGTTTTGGGGTTGTTCTTCAGGGTGGGACACCACCAAACCACCTTTTTTTTGGAGGGTGGGGTGAAGCCTTATCAGTTAGTCACGGTGCCTTTCTTTTTCCGAGGTGCCATTGCTTAATCATCACCAGGGGTTGCAGGGAAGCAGAGCAAGGCGCAATGTGGATCACATACAGCAGCGACACTTCTAGCAAGCCTTTTTGTTGTGCATGTTTTTGCATACATTTGAGTTTTATTGGTTTGTGGCTCTGTTAGGGCCCTTCCTTGCTGTTTTTCAAAGGGTTGATTCCCCCATCCTGTTCGCCGAAGCAGCCTCCACAGCCGCCGGCTTGGGGGCTGGGTTCCTGGAAGCTTGGACGTGCTTCCCCAGATCTCCCTTTCAAAAGCCCTTGTTGAGGTTTCAGGTTCATGCCCAGAGAAGTAGCCCGTTTTACTTAGGTTTTCATTGTGTTTCTCATTCTCCGTTAATACAAGCGTCCCCCGCCAAGAGAAAGAGGGCAACCAGAATCCCCCCCCCCAAAACAAAAACAAGGCAGCTTCTACATGACCCCAAAGACGATGTTTCCCAATGTTTCCGTATGCCTGTACTCCACAATGTTCTTCCCTGTGCTTCTCCCTAGGTTTCTCCCTGTTTATGTTTCCCTATGTTTCCATGTGTTCCCAATGTTTCATATGTTTCCATGTTCCCCTCTATGTTTTCCTATGTTTCTCAAGTGTTACCTCCCAAATTCACCAAGAGGCGCCGCTGCTGACCACTATGGCCGGCGCCCACTGCTGATCTTCTCCTTCCTAGCCTCGAAGGTGTCGGTTCGGTCGGAGAGCAGTTGCCGCATGAGATCTGGACGTGTT